GTGTACACCATCTATCAGGGACGTATAACTTCTAGTCAAACATAACATATTCTAACTCGTAACTAAGCATACATGTTCACATCTTCTAATGATTCGTCAGGTTCTAAGTCGCTCACCTTAGTGAAGTCTACTCGCCAAGTCCACCTGTACATAATTGTTTTACCATACTACACTTATACATAGAAATTTTACCGATATTATCTTCACACTATAACTCATCTCAATTATATATGTATTATTCACAGTACTACACTTATACATAGAAATTTTATCGATACTATATTCACACTATAACTCATACATGATTCCACTGAATCAAGAGGTTAATAAAAGATTCAAATTTAAAAATCTGAAAATAAGGAACAAAGGTCGGGATATGTATAATTTTTTTTTTTTACTAATTAATTTTTTTTCGAGTAAATAGAATTGTATTCTTTAAAAAATGTGAAGTTTTTGAATTAAACTCAATAAAGATTTAAAAAACAAAGATAACGACAAAGAGTGATTTAGTAGTTATAAATCAATGAATATCCCGGTTTTTTAACAGTCATTTCATGGAATAAAACAGTCATTTGTTTTAATAACAATGAATATCCCGTTTTTTTTTTTCAAAAAACGTAAAGATTTGAATTAAACTGAATAAAGGTTAAAAAACGATTAGATTACATGATCAACATCAATTATTTAAAAAACAAAGATGACGACAAAAGAGTGATTTAGTAGTTATAAATGAGATTTTCATGGAATAAAACAGAAATTTTTTCTAATAACAAAACACTCATATCTGATTCCACTGAATCAAGTTAATAAAAGATTCAAATTTAAAAATCTGAAAATAAGGAACAAAGGTCGGGATATGTATAACTATTTTTTTTTACTAATTAATTTTTTTCGAGTAAATAGAATTGTATTCTTTAAAAAATGTGAAGTTTTTGAATTAAACTGAATAAAGATTTAAAAACAAAGATAACGACAAAGAGTGATTTAGTAGTTATAAATCAATGAATATCCCGTTTTTTTAACAGTCATTTCATGGAATAAAACAGTCATTTGTTTTAATAACAATGAATATCTTGTTTTTTTTTCAAAAAACGTAAAGATTTGAATTAAATTGAATAAAGGTTAAAAAAACGATTAGATTACATGATCAACATCAATTATTTAAAAAACAAAGATGACGACAAAAGAATGATTCAGTAGTTATAAATGAGATTTTCATGGAATAAAACAGTCATTTGTTTTCATAACAATGAATATCCCATTTTGTTTTTCAAAAAATGTAAAGATTTGAATTAAACTGAATAAAGGTTAAAAAAACGATTACATTACATGATCAACATCAATTATTTAAAAAACAAAGATGACGACAAAAGAGTGATTTAGTAGTTATAAATGAGATTTTCATGGAATAAAACAGAAGGTTTTTCTAATAACAAAACACTCATACCTGATTCCACTGAATCAAGAGGTTAATAAAAGATTCAAATTTAAAAAATCTGAAAATAAGGAACAAAGGTCGGGATATGTATGATTGTTTTTTTTTTACTAATTAATTTTTTTTCGAGTAAATAGAATTGTATTCTTTAAAAAATGTAAAGTTTTTGAATTAAACTGATTAAAGATTTAAAAAACAAAGATAACGACAAAGAGTGATTTAGTAGTTATAAATCAATGAATATCCCTTTTTTTAACAGTCATTTCATGGAATAAAACAGTCATTTGTTTTAATAACAATGAATATCCCGTTTTTTTTTCAAAAAACATAAAGATTTGAATTAAACTGAATAAAGTTTAAAAAAACGATTAGATTACATGATCAACATCAATTATTATAAAAACAAAGATGATGACAAAAGAGTGATTTAGTAGTTATAAATGAGATTTTCATGGAATAAAACATAAGTTTTTTCTAATAACAAAACACTCATACCTGATTCCACTGAATCAAGATGTTAATTAAAGATTCAAATTTAAAAATCTGAAAATAAGGAACAAAGGTCGGGATATGTATAATTTTTTTTTTTTACTAATTAATTTTTTTTCGAGTAAATAGAATTGTATTCTTTAAAAAATATGAAGTTTTTGAATTAAACTGAATAAAGATTTAAAAAACGAAGATAACGACAAAGAGTGATTTAGTAGTTATAAATAAATGAATATCCCGTTTTTTTAACAGTCATTTCATGGAATAAAACAGTCATTTGTTTTAATAACAATGAATATCTTGTTTTTTTTTTCAAAAAACGTAAAGATTTGAATTAAATTGAATAAAGGTTAAAAAAAACGATTAGATTACATGATCAACATCAATTATTTAAAAAACAAAGATGACGACAAAAGAGTGATTCAGTAGTTATAAATGAGATTTTCATGGAATAAAACAGTCATTTGTTTTCATAACAATGAATATCCCATTTTTTTTTCAAAAAACGTAAAGATTTGAATTAAACTGAATAAAGGTTAAAAAAAAACGATTAGATTACATGATCAACATCAATTACTTAAAAAACAAAGATGACGACAAAAGAGTGATTTAGTAGTTATAAATGAGATTTTCATGGAATAAAACAGAAGTTTTTTCTAATAACAAAACACTCATACCTGATTCCACTGAATCAAGAGGTTAATAAAAGATTCAAATTTAAAAATCTGAAAATAAGGAACAAAGGTCGGGATATGTATAATTTTTTTTTTTTACTAATTAATTTTTTTTCGAGTAAATAGAATTGTATTCTTTAAAAAATGTGAAGTTTTTGAATTAAACTGAATAAAGATTTAAAAAACAAAGATAACGACAAAGAGTGATTAAGTAGTTATAAATCAATGAATATCCCGTTTTTTAACGATCATTTCATGGAATAAAACAGTCATTTGTTTTAATAACAATGAATATCCTGTTTTTTTTTTCAAAAAACGTAAAGATTTGAATTAAACTGAATAAAGGTTAAAAAAACGATTAGATTACATGATCAACATCAATTATTTAAAAAACAAAGATGACGACAAAGAGTGATTTAGTAGTTATAAATCAATGAATAAGCAATCTTGACCATTGATTTAAAGTAACAAATCCTGTCAATTGAAAATATAATTCTTTTTTGTATTTATTATATTCACCGATTTACCATTAAAGGAAACTTCTTTAAATGTTGTAGTGTGAACACAATGGTGAAATTGAACCACAGTGCGACACGTCAGCAAGGTTTCCACAGAATGGAATTCCTTTATAATATAAGATATGAACACATTGATAATTATGTTATGCTTGTGCCACGTAGGTGGTAGGTGACTTACTATATCGATGAAAAATGAATTGTATACCATTTTTATTTTTGGTTCGCACTACCCACAAGCCACAAATGTCGGCTTTTTGACCCTTATAACCCTTTATTAATAATTAATTACCAAATTGACCTTCATTATAAACTATTTCAAAAATTTAACCCCCTCAAAAAACATAACACTAATCTGCCCTTGTTTGACCGTTGACCACCAAGCCTACCCGGGTACACCCCTCCCTACCCGGGTATTTTTTGAAATTTTTTGCCTACCCGAGTAAGGAGGGGTGTACCCGGGTATTGTTCTTGGTACCTGAGAAATTGCTTGAATTATTTACCCGGGTAGGAAGGGGTGTACCCGGGTAAATCTCCACATCTTTGTCTTCATCTACGAGTTGGGTGTCGTGCCATTTTTTGTGTTTTAACATTTTTATTTGAACCACATATTGCTTTACAACTTCAGGTCAGCCAGAAAAATTTAAGTAATGCTCTGAAAACATGACTTAATTTAAATGATCTCAGCTACTGTCTCCAGTGTTTGTCATTTCAGTTTTTTCTCCAGAAAGTAAAATCTGTTTGCACTTTGTAGAGGTATTTAAGCTAGTCTATTCTTTTAAAAGAAGAAATAATAGACTAAAAAGTTTACATCCTTGTAACAATACCCAAAGACTTTCTGTAAACTGGTTAAAAGGTATACTGGGTATATAATATTTTCTTCTAGTTTGCTGATTGAATGAAAAAGAATAGTACTTCTTGAGTGCAAACACCAACAGGTTCCTAAACACTGAGTTCTTCATTCAGATGACATCAATCTAGTAAGTAAAAGTAAATTAACTTGCGCTATGTGACGTGTGATTTCTTTTGATAATGAGTGTGATTACAAATCAATCTAAATAACCCACACAGTCCTGATTGTTTTATTCTTTTATACTTTTCTAGGGGATCAACCAACCCTCCATATGAATAACTCACTGACAGAGAAAAATAGTGAATTATAAAACAATCTCTTCATATAACCAAAAAGAAAAAATAACAATCTCTTCAGGATAGAAGCCTCAAGAAAGAAACTATTAAGCAAGTTTGAACACTGAAAGAGGTATAAATGCAGAAACTAATAAGAAACATAGATAGAAAGATATACGTACATGTATGACTAAGACTGGGCAGTTAACATGCCTTATTTTGTCTATATTCTGAAATGATAAAAGAGATCTTTGTCAATACAAAACATCAGTGATAAATAATGCAACAAGTTAAGAATTATGAATAACAACACTTTAAGGCAAAACTTACTTTGAATATGTCAAACCAAAATGTCATCTTGTCAGGGTACAAGACCATTAGCCCTGAAAGGATGCCACTGTGAATAACAACACCCAACTCATAGATGAAAACGAAGATGTGGAGAAATATTTACCCGGGTACACCACTTCCTACCCGGGTAAATAATTCAAACAATTTCTTAGGTGTCAAGAACAATACCCGGGTACACACCTCCTTACCCAGGTAGGCAAAAAATATCCAGGTAGGGAGGGGCCTACCCGGGTAGGCTTGGTGGTCAACGGTCAAACATGGACAAATTGATATTATATTTTTTGAAGGGGTTAAATTTTTAAAATAATTTATAATAAAGACCCATTTGATAATTAATTATTAATAAAAAATTATAATTCTCAAAAAGCCCACAAATGTATGTCTGTCAATATCTGTGTATCGTGGCCACCTTCGAAGTTCTCTTTTTTTGCTCCCCATCCGATGCCTCTAACTCCAATGTAACCTCGCCCCCATTTCTCTCTCTCATATCTCTGTGGTCTCTAGTCTAGGGGAGAAGAAACACAAATCAAGTAAGAAGTTTCATTAATTTTAATGGATTCTCCGTTGTCATTTCAAATCCCCTCGAATACCTTCCCTCACCAACCACCAGGCATTCCGATTTCCACACCCACTTCTGCAGCTGCTGGAGCTCCAACCCTAAACTTATTGGTGCCTAAACCCGAGCCTTTTGACGAATTCCTAGCGACAACACACGAGCCTCAGCCTCAGCCTCAGCCTCAACAACAAGAACCCGATTTGTACTCCGAGTTTGATCGGGTCTCCGAGCTCTTCCGGGTTGCCTTCGGCAAAACCTTGCAACAGCAGTTCGGAGTTGTCGAGGATGTTGTTGTTCCTGCGGAACCAATTTCGGACTTAAACCCGGACCCGAATTCTGTTGACCCGGTTGTTCGGGACCCGAACTCGCAAGCAATCGTTCCAATGCAGCAGCTGGAATCATCTGCGGGGGCGGGGGCGGGGGCGGTGGCCAGGCGGAGGCAGAACCGGAGGAAAGAGCTGGTGAGGATGATAGATCTGGGAATGAAGGATCAGATGCATTTCCGGGAGGAGGTGAGGAGGACGAGGATGATCTATGACTCGCTGCGCGTTTTGGCGACTGTGGAGGACGAGAAGAGAGCGGCCGCAGCGCCTACTGAGCCAGAGGATGACAATGGCAACAGACGACGGCGCGTGCGGGTGCGAGGTGACCTGACAGCGGCAGCAGCCATGAGGGAGCGTGGTTTGTGGCTGAACCGCGATAAGCGGATCGTTGGGGCAATTCCTGGAGTGTGCGTTGGAGATGTGTTCCTATTTAGGATGGAGTTGTGTGTGCTTGGTTTGCACGGTCAGATACAGGCTGGCATTGATTATCTTCCCAGTAGCATGAGCTCCAATGGGGAGCCAATAGCTACTAGTGTGATTGTCTCGGGTGGATATGAGGATGATATGGATAGTGGCGAGGTTATAATCTACACTGGTCATGGAGGTCAGGATAAGAATTCTAACAGGCAAGTGGCGCACCAGAAATTGGAGGGAGGAAACCTTGCATTGGAAAGGAGTATGAATTATGGGATTGAGGTGCGTGTTATTCGGGGGATGAGGTATGAGGGAAGTGCCTCCGCCGCAGGTAAGGTTTATGTCTACGATGGATTATATAGGATTGTTGATTGCTGGTTTGATGTGGGCAAATCTGGTTTTGGAGTTTATAAGTATAAGCTTTGGAGAATTGATGGGCAAGCCAAAATGGGTAGTGCTGTTCTTAGAAATGCTAGTGATATTAGAAAAAGTGGACCGGATTTCAAACCAATTCATTGTGTTTCTGTTGACCTTTCAAACAAGAAGGAGAATGTTTCTGTTCGTCTTTTCAATGACATAGATGACAATGAGGAACCTCTTTGTTTTGAGTATCTTCCAAGAACTACTTTTCCTCAGTTTGTGTTTCATCAAAGTGGAAAAGCTACTGGTTGTGATTGTGTAGATGGTTGTGCTGATGGCTGCTTTTGCTCTATGAAAAATGGAGGCGAGTTTCCTTATAATCAACATGGCTTTCTTGTGAGAGGGAAGCCTTTGATTTTTGAATGTGGCCCTTTCTGCAGCTGTCCTCCTCATTGTCGGAATCGAGTTACACAAAAGGGACTGAAAAATAGGTTGGAAGTGTTTAGGTCTAGGCAGACAGGGTGGGGAGTTAGGTCCTTGGACCTTATTCATGCTGGTGCTTTTATTTGTGAGTATACGGGGGTTGTTTTGACTAGGGAGCAAGCGCAAATTTTGACAATGAATGGTGACTCATTGGTATATCCTGATCGGTTTTCAGAAAGATGGGCAGAATGGGGGGATTTATCTCAGATATACTCTAATTATGTGCGTCCATCTTATCCATCAATTCCTCCTTTAGATTTTTTTCTGGATGTGTCAACAATGAGGAATGTTGCTTGCTATATGAGCCATAGTTCAACTCCAAATGTGTTGGTTCAGTTTGTTCTGTATGATCACAACAATTTGATGTTCCCTCACCTTATGCTGTTTGCAATGGAGAACATCCCTCCAATGAGAGAGCTCAGCCTTGATTATGGGGTTGCTGATGAGCAGACAGGCAAGCTCTCCATATGTAACTGAATGGTTTTGCAAGGTCCATTCACTTATAATATGCTGAAGCCGAGTTTTGGGCATGGTTAACTGAGGTAAAGCCGAGTCCTATCATTTAACTTGTTTGTTTTCACCATTATCTTCCATTTCATTACATTGTCCTCTTATGTGGCATTTTGTGCTGTCTCCTAGTTAAACTCTGTTGATATGATAATGATTTATAGGCTGAAAAGAATTGTGGTATTTCAGACACCCATGTGTAATTTGGATGATGGAAAATATTATAGCGAGGTTGATGATTGACTTCTTGTGCTTGAATATTTAATTGTAGTCTGCTTTTTATTTGGGTACATCGACTGACCCCAACTAGTTTGGGATAAAGGTAATATTGATGTTGATGTTGATGCTTTGCAAATAGTTATGGTTTCACTGATATACGAGCCTTTTATGTAGTTTGTGTTTGGTTTAGCTGATCAAATTTGTTTTGTTGGTATGTGCTCTCCATTTACATTCACCTATCTTTTATTGGTGCTATTTTACTGAACGTGTACTCTTACAACTTTTCTCTCATAATTAAATGCTCCCTTATTGAATTAATTCACTCTTTCAAGCCAGTTTCCTTACCTAATGATTTATGTTATTTATAGAGTCAGATCATTTAATGTGTCATGCATTACTCTATTTACGATTCATGTTAATGTCATTCTAATGTCTGTAATAGCTACTCCATTAATTTCAAACTGCCTCTAAAAACAGAGATTTTGTGCAGATTTGGTGGTCATTCTAGAGACTGTATTTAACCATTGAACTTTTTCCTTCTGTTAATTGCTTTTGAAGGCGACTACTCTGTACCCATCATTTTCCTTGTTAACAATACCTTTATTAGTTGTCAAACATTTATTGGTTGCCCGGTACTATAGTTGGTGGACTCTAAACATTTATTTTAAGATTCAGCAATCATAAACATTTGGTTACTATCAAGGGTATTGGAAATCAAAGAAAAAACCTGGGTGCAGCTGAAATTCCTCTTTGTCGAATACTAAGTCCAACTTTTACTTTGTACCCTTTACAGAAATAAAGTCAAGGGTTTGAAGAAATTTTTTGCCATAACAATGGGATATGTTTTAATTATTTACTTCTCTCATTTATTTTTCTTTTATCTCAAATTTTTTATATTTTATATTTTATTTTTGGAGTTCATCGACCGCCAACCCCAACTTATTTGGGATAAAGGTGACGTTAATATTGATGTTGAACTAAGGGATAGTTTTTAAATTTGCATTGACATAAAATGTTTCATGATGAGGGTGAGCCTTGGAGCAGCGGTAAGGTTGCTCCTTTTGACTGGCAGGTTATGGGTTTGAGTCTGGAAAACAGCATCTTTGTAAAAAATACAAGGGTAAGGCTGCGTACAATCAACCCTCATCTCTATCCTCACTAGTCATAGAGCTTTGTGCACTGGAATTTGCCCTTTATAAAATGTTTCATGATGAGCAAACTGTAAACCTGAAGTGATAAGTATGTGGTTCATCTAATTTTTCCTAAAAGTGCTTAAAATTTGTTTGTATGATAATTGGGTATGAAATATATGAGAAATTAATTAGTCTGGATGTTTGATCTGTCTTAACAGGCATTTGGATCTGAGTTTTTTTTTCTTTTCTCTTTTTTTGTAATCATACCCAAATACCTGATAAATGGGTTTCTAAGTAGTTAGGAAACTGGAATGACCACGTAGCTAGTACGTTACGGGATTTTATTTACTCAGTAAGGGTTCATGTCCCATCACGGAGGCACTGATCCTCTTTGTTTTATTTTCATAGAAGCAATTTTTTTATTTGAAGTTGTTAATGTTCTATTGGTATATAATCCACACACTACACTTGTGTTAGTGTGAATGTGTGCCGGCTGATAAAATCAAATATTGCAAAAATTGAAAAAATCATAATTCGTGTTTTGAAACATTTGAAATTGGGTATTTCACCGGTAATAGAATCTAATCTTATAATAGTTCTGATGACACTGACTTCTTTGCTTTCACAATAGCAGTTCTTTGTGGTGAAGAAGCAAATATGAATTGAACTAGTTTGAATTTTCTGTTTGTTATTTACTTTATATAGGATGTAATAGATGCTAGGAGCCGAATAACATATAATAGTGCTTATCCTAGTCCCTATTAGCTGAAGCCTGGATGCTTTGTTTGCCAAACATAAGATCATTTTTTTTAATACATAAAGAGGGCTACAGACCAAGATCATGTTTTCTTTAGTAACAGGTGGAACTATGTTTCTTTATGTAGAGAAATGAATCACATTTCTGTTTGATAAAAAACAAAAATAAAATTCACTATAAGAGTAGGGATCTGGATAACAGAGGATTGGAAGTGTTGGGAAATAAATCCCCTCTTCACCTTGTATAAATACTTGCTAGGAAAAAAAAAGTATTGCAAAACATATCCCATCAAATCAAATCGTGGAATACACCTTGTGTTTCAGTTTAATCAGCGTTACTCATTGTGTAAGATATGCCATCAATGGTAAAACTCAAAATTTATTTAGCTGACAACATTTTATTGCTGTGACTTATGGAAGCAAGAATTATCTATCCCTAAACTTGTTTATTCATAAAGTTTAAAATATCTTTTAGCTGGATAGTGGGTAATTAATATTTATATCAACTATGCTTTCCACTAGTTGTTGGGGTTGGTTTAATTCATGTGTGGCATGTGTTTCTTAATTAGTAACAGATGAATATGTTCTACATTCTTGATTGAGTATTTTCCATCTTGCTGATCTTTTCAGCTTGTGCTTCATCATAAAAGGGATATTGATAATTTGGTGTAATGTGATAAATTATAGATAATGAATGAATTTTTCTTTTGTAGTTGATGGAACCCAAAAAAAGGAAATAAGATTGGCTGTAAACAGCCTTACAGAAATGTAAGAAAACACTACTCAGAGGACCTCTCCTCCCAAATCCCTTTCCCACTGTTTACAATAAATTTTCCCATGCCAACACCCCACATTCCTACGGATTATATATCCCACCCTCCACCAATTTGTTAGACAGTTTATCTCTCCTCTAGCTGATTCCTAATGGCCGGAGCCCACTGTCCTAGCCCATAATTCCAGAACTACAGCAATACAGTAAATACACTTTTAAAAAGGAAATTAAGAAACAAACTACCCGTCTCGATCTTCCCTGATACACCCAGCTACAGAGGCAACCCACCTAGCCTCAATAGCATAACCTCCATGTTCACTCTTACTTTTTGCCTACCTCCTCAACCGTTTCCCCCTCTTTTATCTGCCCACCCTCCACTGCTCCTTCCATTCCTTTTCCCAAATCATCCTCTCCATTCATGGCTTGCCACGTGGCATTCTATATAACCAACTCTCTACCTTTCTCATGACGTGTACCACATTGAATATTCCCCTCCTGTCCTTGTGCTGATTTACCTTTTCTTTTATACACTTTCTTATAAGGCTCCAATTCTGTAGGCCCATCAATACCCCCTCCCTCAATTATCACCTTGGCCCCAAGGGGAAAGGATGGGAACTGTTCTTGAATAATATGCATTAATTCCCATGTGCACTCACAATCTGGAAGGCCCTCCCATTGTATCAACAGCTCCACTTGACCATTCATCAATTTTCTTGCCTTTAAAACCTTGGGAGGAGTCACCGTCAATTCCAGTTCCTCAGATAAGCAACTTGGTAAATCCACCACTGGTGTTGACCATTGACGTTTGTACTGCTTTCTTTAATTGTGATACATGAAAAGTGGGATGCACCTTTGAATATGAAGGCAGCTCTAACTTATAAGCTATTGGTCCCACGCGTTCTACTATCTCAAAGGGATCGTAAAATCTTGGACTGAGCTTCTAATCTTGGACTGAGCTTCTGGTTTATTCTCTTAGCCAAGGATCTCAGTTTATAAGGCTGGATCTTTAAAAACACTTTGTCTCTCACAGAAAATTCCACCTCTCTTCTCTTTTTGTCAGCATGTATTTTCATCCTCTCCTGGGCTAGATGCAGATTGTTTTTCAAATCATTCAGGATTTTATTTCTTGCTTGCAACCACTGTTGCCACTGGTGTATCTCCTACTTCTAGGTGTAAAATGGGAGGCGGATCCCTTCCATAAAGGGCCTTGAATGGAGTCATCTGAATTGATCGATTATAAGACGAATTAAACCAGAATTCGGCTCACAGTGTCCATTGGGATGACCATTGATGAAACAACACAAGTAAGTTTCTAGTGTTTGATTGATGACTTCAGTTTGGCCATCTGTCTGCAGATGGTTGCCAAACTGAACCTCAATTTTGTGCCTGCTAATTTAAACGTCTCCCAAAACTTGCTCATAAAGACCCTGTCTCCATCTGATATAATGGATTTAGGAAATCCATGTAATCGTACAATCTCCTTAATGAAAGCAGCAGAACATCCTGAGCATAGAAAGGATGTTTTGTCTAAAGCTTTTAGTAGTCATGTTCTTCATACACACCTGTCTAAAGCTTCCTTAAATTCCTTTCGGAAATATGCTGTGTTTGTTTTGTAGCAAAGGTTCACTACTTGCTTTTGACATACTTTTATCATTCATTCCCTCTTTCTCTTTGATTTTCAAATGGAAAAAATGCTTACTCGGTGCACTCAAGCCTTTTTTTTAAAAATAAAAAAATTTAGTAGTCAATTTAATGGTATAAAATGATATATGTTGTTAGTGTGAATGTGTGTGAGTTGGATAACAAATTTTATAAAACAAAGAGGATTGATAGGTTATTAGTGTGTGTTGAGATGCTAGTAAATGTAATTATCTTTGTCTAAATCGATATCATTGTTATAAAAGGATGAAATTGACTTTCTCAGGCAACAGTTTTGAAATTGTTTTTATAGATTGCTCGAACAGTTAGTTCCATTATCAGCAGCAGATTCTATTTTGTATTAACCAAAAATACCAGATTTAGAAAAATCACAAAGCTTTAATACAGAATCACCTGTTTAATGTTATTAGGCATGTTTATTATTTAATGTTTTATTCTATGAACTGAAATTACTTTTAGTTAATATTTTATTTTTATTTTTTTATCTCTAGCATAATTTCCAATTTGCTAGGTATGCCTTTATGCTACAAGATATGCAATTTAACATGTAACCAAAATTTACCCGAGTTGTTAGACATCAAGGTCTTCCATAGTATAATGTGTATTAGGGTTCATGATAAAAAGATTAGATTGGTATCAATTAATCCAAATTGGTATCAATGAGGAAAAGCATTTATTATCCTTACCGTTTTAGTATTTCAAATCTTTATTATACAGCCCAAATGGCTAAAGGCAATAAACACGAAGAAAGTTATTTCCTTCCAATAAATCTCTAATTCTCTTCTCGCTTTCTCCTAATCAATCGCTTATTCTTGCTTCTCTCTCCCTTCTTTGTCTTCTCTCTCTGCAATTCTACCAACTATAAAATTACCCTTAATAAATGATGTTTTCCATTGACTCCAGTCTTCACCATGCCAACAACATATTCTCAAGTCAAGAGCACCAGGATCGATTGCAAGTGGTTGAACAACTAGCAAGGGTAACAACCGCTGTGGTTGAATAGTTACCCAAGGATTTCCTGGACTCTAAAGCCAAAGAACTTATAGTATAAAGCCTCACGACATTATTGGACAAACTTGGCCAGCGCCTCTATTCCACTCTCCGCCAAGAGCTACCAACACAACCACAATTGGCAACTGATCTAGCTTCCGGCATCCTCGACAATGTTTTGCACAATCCCGAACCTTTGAACGCGACGCCATCACGTAGACATACCCTCCGACTCACGTTCTTGTGTTTCTCCTTAGGTGACTCGACCGTTTAGCTTTTCAACACAAAAGTACTATTTTCATTATTAGAACACACTTACAGGATCATCTACTACAAAATGTGATGCATCTCGATGCACTTGCGGCCATTTGGTACCAAAGGTCTGGTGGTTGATAACCCCTTGCTCAATTGAGAGGCATTTGTTCGTGCCATCTGTTGTGCCGCTTTTGTCCCTTTGAGTATAAGGATCCTACCACTCTCATTTTAAGCTTTCTAAGCCTAGCTCCATCCTAGTTACCAAGCTGCCTTTAAAAATCTCACTAACCAGGTTATTGTCACAGGAGCATTTACGCATCTGATTCATCTCCACAACTTATTTATCTCCATCTTGCAACTACGAGTGCACGTGGCAATCATAGCTCATCGTCCTGTGTACTTGCATGATGCATTCATGTTGGCACACATGTATATTTCTCAACTTAGTGAGCCGCACCTCAATACAATGTCATTTCATCCGCCGCCCTCAGCAGCAACAAGCGCGGAAGCCCCAGCCACCACCCAATCCCTGGTCATATAGCGCGATCAACGTGATAAAAGTCTATGCTACAACTGTGATGAGAAATTCGTATGCTGGCATCGATGCAAAATGATGCCAAAGTTCGATCCGTTTATATTTGGAGGGTGTTTCCTCCATAGAGGACTACAGTACCACCCGAGTCTATTGAATCGGATCCTTCTGACCCATTCACGAGCCACCTCTCAACCTGAGGACAAGCCCCATCTCGATGGGGGAAGGAATGTTGGGAACCAAGGTCTTCGTGTAGTATCAATTAGCATTTATTAGCATCCATTAATTAAATTATTAGATTGTTATTGATTAATCCTGATTGGTATCAATCAGGACTAGCATTTACTCTCTTCGTCCTGATTGAGTGTCTCTCTCTCTCTGCAATGCTGCCAAAGATTCATAATTGCCCTTAACACCAGTCAACAGAGATGGCCAAGTTAGGGTGGAACAAGAACAGAACTAAAATAATTAAAAGTGCGATTTTTCCCTTTTATGAATTTCGTTTTCATCATTAGCAAACATTATTGTTCATTTGCCTTGATTTTGCATTGTATCATTCATATGTATAATTTGTGTCACCATGAAAAATAGTAGCATTCTTGCTCAGATGAAATGACAATATTAAATATATTGTTCTTTTGATTCAAGTTAGTACTTGGAACAATGACCAATGTGCCACGTTTTTGGCATTAATATATCAAACTGCCACGCGAACAGTAAAATTTACCAAACTGCACGCATTGATTTCGTGACACGTGGCACATTTTCGCAGAAAAAGTTGATTGGACAAAGTTCGCTACCAGGGGTAGCGAACTTGGTGCACTACGTGCACAATCTCGTTGCTCGATCAGAATTAATGTACCAATCACAATAAAAAATAGAAAACGAAGGAAAATGACTATTTAATTAATGTACCAATCACCAATCACAATTAGCGTATCAATGAGATTAACGTTTGATTGTACCAATCACAATAAATGTACCAATCACCAATCACTTCGGAGGGCCATAACTTCTGATTCAGATATCCAAATCAGATATTTTTTATTTTAGTTCACACAACTTTTCGAGATCTACTCAATGACATCTCATTTGGCATATTTTATCTCTCACTAACATCGTTCGAATTTGTAATAATGGTATCACAAATAATTAATATACCAATCACCAATCACAATTAATGTACCAATCAAAATTAATTGTGATTGGTACATTAATTGTGATCAAAATTAATTGTGATTGGTGATTGATACATTAATTGTGATTGGTACATTAATTGTGATTAGTACATTAATTAAATAGTCATTTTCCTTCGTTTTCTTTTTTTGATTGTGATTGGTACATTAATTACGATCAGGCAACAAGTACACGAAGTTCGCTACCCCTGGTAGCGAACTTTGTTCAGTCAACTTTTTCTGCGGAAATGTGCCACGTGTCACGAAATCATTGGCTACCAAGTTTGCTACTTGTGGCAGTCAGTTTTTCCAGCAAAGTGTGTCACGTGTCAAGAAATCATTGGCTACCAAGTTCGCTATCAGTGGTGGCGAATTTCAACGCGTGACAGTCTGGTAAATTTTACTGTTCGCGTGGCAGTTTGGTATATTAATGCCAAAGGCGTGGCACATTGGTCACTGTTCCTTAGTACTTAGTAATGATAAAAGAGACTATCAATCAATGTTATTGAATTTTGTATTTGCTTTTCCTCCTCTAATGAAACAGAGACCTCTCTACTCTAGCATTCTGTATCTGACTATTCTGTGTATTCGATAAGTGCATTTCCTATTATGTGAAGTATTAAGTTTGATGTCGTATGCCGTTCAAGACTTCTGAGGTGGGTAACTCATTTCTCTCGGGTGTATTTTCAATCACCGTTAAGTTGTATTTTCTGTTGCAGGGTAATTTTTTGGAAATTTATGGATTACTTTTTCTGCAACTCTTCATAGATTTTCTTTTAGATTTATGTAAGTGCTAGAGAATATACCTTGGGTCTGGGGTAGTTGCATTTTCCAAGGTAGCTAAGTTAGTATAACATATATGTCTACAAGTTAAATTCTCATTTTCCCCTCAAATTCCTACATTAAATGGTGTTTGAGATTAAGTTTTTTAAGTTAACCATATTTTGGTTATGTCTACCTATGTGTACATAACTAGTGAATAAGTTCTAAATTCTGCTCTACTGAATTGTGTTCTACTGAATGACAGTAATTCTGAACACCGGATCATTTATTTTCATATCTTTTTAGTTTGCTTCAATCATAGTAGTCAAAATCACGAGTTTGGTTGGGATCGTGTATGATCCCATGCATTTTGCCTCATCAACAAGTTGGATTGTTTGCAAAATCTTTGTCGACAAGGATCGTTATGGATTGCAGTGTAAAATTGCAAAAACAGTGGGATAGCATTATCTCACCGTGCCGGACAACCCATTTTGCTCCGAATGAATTGGACACATGGCAGAAGCAAAGGTGCTTCTAGGGGGAGTCATTTTGTCGTTTATGCAAAGCAGAATGTCAATGTTGTTGTTTATGAATATTCTGGGTCGTTTCTCTTGCTCTCCTGAAAAGCGTGGTCTCTCTTGCATGCTTTCATGGTAGTGCTGGTGCAAGTGCACCATCGTTGGACACGATTCACAAAATGAGAGAGAAAGAGAATTTGAATTTACGAATCCAAAATATAACTTCCAAATAGACCTTCTTGAAGTGTTATTTATTAGTTGTTGGATTTCATCCTGCCCCTTTTATTATCAGTGTTCCAGTTGATGTGGTAACAGCCGGCTTGCTCCTGCCAAGCTGGATCTCTGCTTTTATACAATAACCAGAGCCTTTTTCCACTTTGTGGGGATCAGTGCTTTTATACATATTAAAATAATTAATGATTGATGATATTACATATATTCACAAATATTGCTGTGGAGCTGTAGGAGGAGAGGCCAACATATAAATTAATTGTTGGCTCAAATCATGGTCTGAATTTTTATTTTTATTTTTATTTTTCTTTGTTTAGTGGAACAGCTTACATTATGGTCTAGTTAATTAAAAATTTCTTATGCAAAAAGTATGAGGTGCGCAGTTTATATATAACTGATTCTCTAGTGCTTTCTGGATTTACTGATGCAGGGGCAAAGCACTTTTCTTTTTTTTGTTGGTTGTTTCCTTATTTTCCTTTCTGTTTGTTTTTAACGTGGTTCTTGGTATTGTATCTAGTAGCCACGTGGCTAGCAAGCGTCTTTTTAATGTCTTAAGTTGATGAGTTTAAGTTGGGCTTTTACTTTGCGATGGGCTTAGTAATATATACCTAGCTAATTGGTTTTGATATTCTTTTGCAGACTTGCCATGATTTTCAGGTTTCAACCTCACCAAATTTCTTGGAGCTGTGGAACTGCTTGCTATATAAACTCTTATATCCGGGTATCCAAAATCACTTAATAGCTATTATATTATCCTGGTTTCTTGTTGGTTAGTTCATAACATTTTCAGTGTGGTGATGAAGATCAGGGATTGGAGTTCCATGTGTGCTTAAACTGTTAAACTTGAACACTTCTGTAATTATTCTCTAATTTGCTGATGTCATGTTTGTCCATTCATACTCTTGGGCGAAGCATTTGCAAGTCTTATCACCATGTTGTTTAAGCAAGTAGCTCGGATGTATTGACTTTTCCTTTGTATATAATGTAAGTTACAAATTGTACAGGGATGATAATATGGCCGGCAATAATTGATAAAATGCTGCATTGTAGTTAAGTTTAGAAGCAAATGAGTAGACATCTGAAAATCCAGATCTTTCAAAGACTTCAGGTTTTTTGCCAATCGAATTTGCTGTAGATATATAGTTCTGATTTTTGTTTATTTTTTTGTTGATACTGACAGGTCACTTTTTGATGCACTTAGATGGCTTCAGGGACCCCTTGTATATTAAATACCTTATATTAGCTTGAAGTGCGTTTAGCCGTTTAAACTGGATTGGTTTGGGTTATAGCCTCTTACGGCTCTTGTAAGATGATGCCTAATTGCATGATTTGCTTATGAAAAACTTACGATGAAATGAACAAATTGATTGTTCTAGAGGACACTAGTTTTTGCAGAACACCTCTAAACCTATGATGCATTGGTTCTCCTAATTAGTTGTCATACCCATACCGGGTACTTATTCAGTACTGGTACTTGTAAGGTAGACATGGTTACTTAATACTCGTCCACTGGACTACAAATCAGTCTGTGCATAACACCAAGTTTTGTTGCTAAGTTGTATAGTTTGTTACTAAATGAAACAAACTGCTATTTCGTTCCCTTCAAAACTTGTGCTTTCTTCATATTTGTTTGCTACTTTAGTTAGAACATTATGAAACTGTATTCACATTATGATTTTATTACTGTATTATTTATGTTTTTGTATTATATATTATCCTGTACCCGTATCTTAGTTTAAGTAATTTTGTCGTATCCCCGACCAATATCAGCAGTTCTATCCGTATAAATGCAGCACAGCTCTCAATAGAAGGCATAAAAGGATATAAATCATTGGCAGCAGTCATGGCACCTAATTTTGAATATTTGTTTTCGGTCCTTATTCTGTGACACGGGCAACAATGCCTTTACTGGAAGTTTAACTATCTTTCATCTTCCATATTGACAAGTTATAATTGCAATTTGCAAGCAGTCAAGGAGGGAGATATATGCAGCGGCCTTTTATTCTTTAGGGCATGTTTGGTGTGATGTATAAGGCCTGATAGTATAAGCTTATATTATACGTTATGACATTTTTAGTTATTTGGTGTGACCATCGTATAGTATAAGTTCATATAGCAGAATCCCTTTATATATTTTTGATGTATAACTTAATCAGGCTTAGGAGAATAGGATTAAGTCTGACAAGGGGTTGATGAAAGTAGAATTGGCCTTGAAGGCCGTAGCATGTGAGAGGGAAAAATAAAAATTTTCCGCAAGCGGAATACACATGCATGTCAAGATACATACTTTAAGACGTATGTCATACCTTGTTCGTGAAAACTCAAGATGATCAAGGTAGGTCTGAAGGGTTCAGACCCTCTAACGTTGATCCACACCACCCGCGTCTAGATACAGGAACTCCTTCCAGTAAAGCCTCCGATTGATCACCACAATAAGGCTTGCTATGCGCTCAATGTGTGATGAAATGAGACTATGTAAAAGTGTTTAGAAGAGTGAAGTTTTCAGAGACAAAACCTCACAAAAGTGGCGCAGGAATAAAGAGAGAATGACTTAGGCTTTTCACAAAACCCTAGGAGGAACTTATATGCTATTAGGCGCACAAAAAGTGATCAAGAGAGTCATGATGCAATCAGATTTTTAATCCTCAAAATCCCTTCAAAAGGGCGCACCAACAAGGAGAAATAAGAGGATTTGTTGCAAATCAAATCTTATCAAATCTTGCCAACAACATCCTATCATATCTTTATGATATTAGGTTCAAAGCCTAATCAAATATGTGATCATAAATCATCATATAATCAGCTATATGGTGCGCCCCATATAGCCTAAATAATGACCAGATACATTTGAGTAGCTGCATTCAAACTTGAATCAAATCACTCAAATATTCTCCCAACAAATTGTATCTTCTGGAGCTGATTCTGATGACTAACCAACAGCCAAATCAGCGCCCCAAATCTTCTTAGATTATGTCCAAAAGATTTCCTCTTGATATGTTCCAACAAGATCTCATCTTATCCTTTTGTTATGAAACAACTTTTCATAGCCAATTCAAATTCGAATTTCAAACATTTGAATTCAAACTTTCAAACACTTAAATTTTAAATTCAAATTCAAAATTCTAAATTCAAAATTCAAAATTCAAATTTCAAAATTCAAAATTCAAAATTCAAATTCAAAATTTAAACATTTGATAATTAATTTAACTAATTAAATTAATTAGTAATGTTTTGAACTATCCAAGCCCATTATTTGATCTATGCGCCCTCCACCCCTATCTGTGGAGTTCCAAACTACTTCTTGGGCTAATAACAATTGTTAGGCCCAATACCTTTAATGCTAGAGCATCTAGACAATTAGGTGTTAGTGTGTGACCCATTAGGTCCAACATAGCCACTGACATAAATGAGCTTGGGCCCAATAAGCCCACAACCCATCTAATGACAACACAGAGCACTAGCAATGCTTTGTTGCCCCAGAACTAGTTAGATTAATGAATTGATCATCCTATTACACATATTTGGTTGCCGTATATATTTCCTTTCGTCTCGGTTACCTTCCCATAAAACCTAGGGTAAGGAAGCGTATCAACCCCTGCGGTTTAGGGTAAGCTTTATTCGAAATAGGGAATCTTCAATTTACAGACTCTAAAGGCAGATCATCTCATGATCTCTTTTACTATGCATAGATTCTCGAGTCCCTATAAATGTCATCCCGATTTCTCCGATTTACAGATAACCTAATCTCTCACAGAGATTTGACGAATTCCTTCAGCTTATCACCCTAGCCCTGTGTTCTTTCAGGACAAGCCCAACAGTATACCTATGAGTCTCCATGTTTCAGGCAGACGAGGTGCACAATCAAAGCATGCCTTCTAGAACACAGTTTAGGTAATAACTTCTGGTCTTAGGAAAGACATACCCAAATATAAAGAGACTACTCTAATGATACTCTCTGTGAGAGTTCCTCATAGAGTCTCTTTGTGGGTCTGTTCAGTGCGAGTTATACCCTTATAGGTCCACCCACGACTTTAGCTAAGACATCTCCATATCTGTAGCTCATGAGGTCTTTACCTTGCATCCGAATACAAGTAGATAAGTCGTGCTAGTCTTACTCGAGATCACTGATCCCCATTCTCAGTGTCTCTAGACTAGGAACATAAAATTAGGAATAAACATCCAGTATCCTTGAATCCTCATGATCGTGATCTCATCACAGATACTTAAGAGATACCTATTTTATTCCAAGGGGTTTATCCAGTTACTCATATATAATATTAACAGTAATATCGAGACAAAATATGAAACAGGATAAAGAATGCTTTTATTTATTTGCGACAATACAAAGTCCACTTATGTCCTAATCTAATCAAAAGATTGTCTCTAGGACATCCATATACTAACAAGCTCTCACTTGGCCTAGAGCCAATCAGACCTAAGTCGTATACCCAAAGGCTCATAATGACTATCACGTTTTCTCTGAGAAACAGCCTTTGTCAGAGAATTGGCTAGGTTATCATCTGTGGGAACATAATCCATCTTTACATCCATCTTATCAATGATTACTCTAATCAGGTGATATCTGTGGAGCACGTGTTTAGATCTTTGATGAGAGCTAGGTTCCTTTGACTGCGCAATGGCTCTAGTGCTTTTGTAAAGCAACTGTATGGGCTCATCTACGCTTGGAACCACCTTTAGTTCAGATATGAACTTCTTGATCCACACGACCTCCTTAGCCGCTTCTGAAGCAGCTATGTATTCAGCTTCTGTCGTTGAATCTGCTGTTGTCTCCTGCTTGGAACTCTTCCAAGATACTGTCCCACCATTTAAGGTGAACACGAACACTGATTGTGACTTACAGTCATCTTTGTCACTCTGAAAGCTGGCATCAGTGAACCCTTTTACTGAAAGCTCATCAACCCCACCATAGACCAGAAACGCATCCTTAGTCTTCTTAAGTACTTAAGGATGGTCTTGACTGCTGTCCAGTGACCCTCTCCAGGGTCAGACTGGTATCTGCTCGTAATGCTTAAAGCATATGAGACATCTGGTCTCGTACATATCATGGCATACATGATGGATCCAATAGCCGAAGCGTATGGAATTCCACTCATGCGATCATTCTCAGGCTGTGACTTAGGACACATAGCCTTTGAAAGATGTACCCCATGACTGACGGGAAGAAAACCCCTTTTCGACCCTTCCATGCTAATCCTCTTTAGCATCTTGTCAACATACGTGGATTGAGATAAACCCAGCAGCCTATTGGATCTATCTCTATAGATCTTTATACCAAGTATAAAGGCTGCTTCTCCCATATCCTTCATGGTGAAGCCTTTTGAAAGCCACTCTTTCGTTATTTGTAATGTGGGGATGTCATTTCCTATTAACAATATGTCATCTACATAAAGTACTAGGAAGACGACATTACTCCCACTAACCTTCTTATAAACACAAAGTTCATCCTCGTTCTTGATAAAATCGTTACTCTTAACGACTTCATCAAAACGAATATTCCAACTCCTTGATGCTTGCTTTAGCCCATATATCGACCTTTGAAGTTTGCATACCATATGCTCCTGATCTTTGATTTCAAAGTCTTCAGGTTGTGTCATGTACACATCCTCCTTCAAGAAGGCAGTCTTGACATCCATTTGCCAAATTTCATAGTCGTGATATGCCTTTCAAAAAGGTGTTTCTTTTAAAACTTTCACAAAGAAAAGAAACAAAACCATGATCACATACAGACACATGAACATAGCAATCACATTAACATGTTCATAAAATAAAAACTTTAACGATTTAAAGCATAGTATTTCGAAATCCATATGCTATGATTCAAGTTTTAATTCTTTAAAGAATTTTGACCGTAAAGAACAAGTTTTTACAAACAAGGTACCATCACCCGCCGATGGTAAAGCAACCGGGCTCTGATACCACTTGAAAGAAACTGACCTTGAAGGTCGAGGCATGTGAGAGGGAAAAACAAAATTTTTCGAGCGGAATAACACATACCATATCAAGAAACGTGCTTTAGGGCATGGATGTTACCTTGTTTGCTTTCCAAAACTGGAGGATGATCAAGATGAGGCTTGAAGATGCAAGCCCTCTAATGTTGATCCACACCACCCTTTGTCAAGACGGAAGAACTCTTCTTCAAGGCCACCAACGAAAACACCAATGGAGGAAAGCTATGCGCCCAATGTGTGAAGGAGGAGGCTAGGTCAAGGTGTTTAGAAGAGTGAATATTCAGCAAGAATAGACACAAAAGTGGCGCATGGTTTTCTTTGAAAAAGGCTAGGTTATTTCGAAACTCTCTTAAGAAAAACCTCACAAAAGGAACCCACAAGGAGATGAGAGAATGAGTTAATTAAAATCTGATTTTCTTCACTCAAATAAGGCCCTATATATAGCGCACACTAGGGGATGAGTGGAGTTGTTGCAAAATTCAAATCTTGTCAACAACCTCCTCTCACATCCTCATGATATTAAGTGAATATCTCAACAAGAATCTGACTCAACAACCATCATATGTCCAGCCATATGGTGCGCCCCACTTGGCCTCAT